AAAATGTAAATCTCTTGGATGTTTTTGCTTGGCAGCGCATTTTTTAAATCACATAGTTTTGGAGTAATTTTCAAAACTTTATATCATTCACAGCATATTTCTAAAATACCCATTCTAATTTTATATCTTGCATCTTACATTCAAAACTATGTATTTTTCATTAAGAAACTAGTATTGCAAGATCATGAAGAGCTGAGACATGTTAAAATAACAGCAAATATCATAAGATTAGATTTGTTAATATATAAACCTAAAATTCTATAAGAAAAGGGAATACCTATATTCAATTTTATCAGTGGTGAATGGGAGTTTCAGAAAACATTTTATTGCCAGGATTTTCAAATGCATATCCATCAATAATTGTGTAACTAATGTATACCTACTTGCCCACACAACAAGCAAACTAGAAGAAATGTATACCACCTTGTCAAATGCCTCAAAAAATATGGGCCTGCAAGTAAATGAGGAGAAAACTAAGATAATGACATCAACACCGAACAATAGAGCCAGAAACATAGGCCACCAATTCACTGTTGATAACTCTACCTTTGAAGTGGTGGACAAATTCGAATACTTAGGCTCACTGATCACCAAGGAGAATGTCATGATGGAAGAAATCAAGCAAAGAATAATTATATCAAACAAATGCTATTTTGGATTGAGTAGACATATGAGAACCAGAAACTTAACCCAAAAAACAAAAATAACTATATACATAACTCTTATACCACCAGTGTTGACATATGGATCGGAGACATGAACCATTTCCAAGGCAGATGAAAACCTATTGCTTATATTTGAACAAAGGATCCTGAGAAGAATATTCAGTGGCATCTGTGAAAATGGTGTTTGGAGAAGGAGTTACAACTATGAGATATATCACAGATATAAATATATATTTTTATTTAATATTATATTTTATTTATTTAACTCCGCCTGGGATACCGTGGGAAATCACAGTGTCACAGCCGGTCCTAAGCCCGGATAAAGGAGGAAGGTTGGGCAATGGGCTAGTCACCCATTACTGTAGAACAAACCCCGACTACGAAATCTATACAAAAGCCTCGGATAGGACGGTCTTATCGACGACGACTCAAGCAAAGAAATATGGACTACTCATTTGGAACATGGAACGTCTTAACCCTAAATAAACCAGGAGCCCAAACATCGCTGCTTAACGAACTTAAAAAATATAAGATACAATTAGCCGCAATACAAGAAACAAAATGGTTAGGCAATGGAATAAAAGACACAAAAACGCACACAATACTCTATAGCGGCAAAGAAAATGGAAAGAAAGAATTTGGAGTGGCTTTCGTAGTAGATAAGAACATCAAAAACAATATCTTAGATTTCGAAGCAATAAATGAGAGATTATGTAGATTGAGGCTAAAAACAAAATTTTTTTAACCTCACAATCATTAATGCCCATAGTCCAACAGAAGAACACGACATAACAATAAAAGAGGAGTTCTACGAGCAATTAGAAGAAATATACGACAATGCCCCAAAAAATGACATCAAGATAATATTGGGTGACATGAACGCCCAAATAGGCAAAGAAGAACAGTTCGCAGGAATAATCGGCAAACACTCACTCCATCAAAACACCAACGAGAACGGGGAATTTCTAATTAATTTTGCCAGCAGGAAAAACATGATCGTGAGCTCTATGTTCTTTGCTCATCGGGATGTACACAAAGCAACGTGGATCATGCCAGGTGGAGCGGTTACTAACCAAATTGACCATGTCTTAATAGACAAAAGAGCTGCCACCAACATCCTAGATGTAAAAAGTCGAAGAGGAGCATGCTGTGGATCTGATCACTTGCTGGTACAAGCAAAATATAGATGCAGGATCTCAAGAAACAGAGATAAGAAAGAAGAGATAAAAGAGCAGTTGGACATTGATAAACTAAGCCAACAAAACGTTAAACTGAGCTACGAGACAGAAATAACCCAGACACTTACAAACACAGATAACCTAGACATTGAAGAACATTGGAAACAAATGAAGACAAAAGTATTAAATGTAGCGACAAAGACCATCGGTAAAAAGGTAAAGAAGCAAAGGGCAGAATGGTTCAACGAAGAGTGTAGACGGGCCATACACGAACGAAATGAAGCTCACAAGAAATATATGGAAAGGCGAACCAGAGAAAGAAGAACATTTTTCGAGGAGCTACGACGCAGGGCGGATAAAATATGTCGAGGAGAAAAAAGAAAATGGGAAAATAATAAGATACAGAAAATGGAACAAAACCTCCAAAGCAACGATCTAAGGGAGGCATATAAATATCTTCGACAACTAAGAGAAGGATACAAACCCCGAACAAGTCTGTGCAGAAACCAAACAGATAAGATAATTAGTGAACCAACGCAAATAAAATCAGTTTGGAAAAGCCATTTCCAAGCTCTGCTAGGAGCACAAGGAAGCTCACGATCTTCGGATACGCGGCACATCGAGGAAGGAGACGAAGAAATAAGCAGCCCGACTCTTAAAGAAGTCAAACAAGCAATACAGGCGCAAAGAAACAACAAAGCGCCGGGATTTGACGATGTCCCTTCCGAACTGTATAAATTAGGTGGCGAACATCTAACATCGCAGGTGCACGCGCTCATATCTAAGGTATGGAGGAAGAAAAAATTCCTAGTGATTGGAAAAATGGATTATTTGCCCAATCTACAAAAAAGGGACAAACTTAAATGCGAAAATTACCGCGGCATAACCCTCCTATGTTCGGCCTACAAAATTTTTACATCCATCCTGAATAGGCGACTTCAACCATTATGTGAAAATATTATCGGTGAATACCAGACCGGTTTTCGACAAGGCAGGTCGACAATAGATCAGCTTTTTACAGTAAAGCAAATCCTTAATAAAGCTTGGGAACACGATATTGATGTTCACAATATATTTGTCGACTTCAAACAGGCTTATGACTCCATAAATAGAAGCCGGTTATATAACATCATGGAAAGCTTCAATATTCCCTCGAAATATATCCGACTAGTAAAAGCAACGATGGACTCCACAATAGCAACTGTACGCATACAGTACGAATTAACTGACAGCTTCGAAATAGTTCAAGGGCTGAAACAAGGTGATGGACTAGCTCCAACACTGTTCAATCTGGCCCTTGAATATGTCATCAGAAAGCTGAATGTCGGAAGAGCCAATCTCCTAACAAACAAATCTGTCCAGCTCGCCGCATATGCGGTGACATTAACCTCATGTCCCGCAGAGTGGATGATGCTGCAGAAACATATTCGCAGCTGAAAAAAACGGCCAAGGAGATTGGACTTGAAATAAATACACAGAAGACAAAAATACTAACACAGACGCGGACAAAGCGAACAAGAAATCAAATCAAAGTAGAGGATGACATTGAAACAGTGAAGAGTTTTACTTATCTGGGAGTCGAAATGAATACGGAGGGAACAGAAGAGGCCGAAATTCAGAAGAGAATAATGAAGGGAAATAAAGCCTATTTCTCCCTGATTAACATATTCCGCTCCAAGATGATACATCGAAAATCGAAACTTAAGGTCTATAAAACTATCATCAGACCGATAGTATGCTATGGATGCGAGACATGGGTTTTGACAGAAAGCACTAAACGAAGATTAGAGGTTTTCGAGAGAAAAATCCTAAGGAAGATCTTTGGACCCATCACTCAAAATGGGATGTGGAGATCTAGATATAACCATGAACTCTACCAACTGTTCAAAGAAGCACCTATTGCAGAGTTCGCTAGAGTACAAAGGCTTCGATGGGCTGGTCATGTGGTACGGATGGATGCCGACAGATTGCCGAGAAAGGCCTTGGATGGTAAAATGCAGGGCAGAAGACCAAAGGGAAGACCACGTAATAGATGGAGAACGAAGTCACAGCAGATGCGCACAACTTACTGAACGTCAGGGCTTGGAGACGAGTGGCGCGGGATCGCCTTTGTTGGAGGCAGAAGTTACAGGAGGCCAAGGCTCAATTTGGGCTGTAGCGCCATTGGAAGAAGAAGAAGAATAAATATATATTTGGTGGTAAAGATGTAGTATCTCTTATAAAAATAGGAAGACTAAGATGAGCAGGACATCTGGCAAGATCACAGCAGATCAACCCTCCTTGAAGAATCCTTATGTCACAACCTGTGGGAAGTAGAAGTAGGGGTAGGCCAAAACTCAGATGGTGGGATGGTGTAGATGAGGATGGTAGAAAAATAGGCGCAGCAAACTGGCAACAGTTAGCAATGGATAGAACTGACTGGCGTAATAGACTTGGGAAGGTCGAGGTTCTTTTATAGAGCTGTAGCACCAATGATGATGATGAATGTATAAATACTGTATCTAATCAATTCTATATTGTAATGTTAATTGGAGCTTAGTGTATTATCTGGTTAGGTATTAGATTATAAATATGTACTTACCCCATTCAATTGATTACTAAAGTAATTTCTGGTATAAATGACAGTACTTCATCAAATTGCTGTCTTGGTTTAATATGTTGTATGATTGAGACTCAATTTTATGATTTTAGATTTTGTGAGAGGAAAAGAAAATCTATATAAAAAATAATTAATGTATAGCGTAATAACTGTACCAATATTCACTAGATTGTGGACTATATTAAACATCTACCTAATGGATTAAGAAATTTTAGTACCATAATATCATAAATAATGTTGAAATAGAAGTTTTCTATTAAATAAATATTAATTAATTAAAATGGAATATAGAAAATCAGACTAAAAGAAAAAATTAAGTGAAAAAACAATAGGAGCAGACCTACAAATAAATGTGAGTTTCAAATGTAATAAAACATACATTGTGGGTGTTTTCCTTATAAAGTGAATTTGATAAAGCCCAAGGGAGGCTCGTAATTTAAAAAAAAATAGGAAATCAATAAAAGCCATGATTTTGGCGAAGTAAATTTGTTCTACAATTTTAATTGAATCACAGCTTATGTAGACACAACTGTACTGAATATATTATAATAAATCATCTTGTAAATTTATTTATTTATTATAAAGGATTATTCAACTGAATTCAAAAATACATTAAATCAGATATTAAATAAAAAATTAATATTTTATGTTCCATTTATAAATAAAAAATGTATTTAATAACTATTTCTATACTAAATCCAATTAAATCAAATATAATTAAAAATTAATGTAAATATATTTATACAATATACTGCATTTGAACACTCTTATTACTTAGATCCATCTTTTCATTCATCATTCTGTGGAGGGATATAAACAAAAGAATCCACCTCTTGAAGTACTAACTCCCTCCATTTCTCAACTGGCAAATTCATATCTTCAATACTTTGATCATAAGGGGCTGAAATAGGCTCGTCATTGGGGTCTGCATAAGCTGTGAGGTAAGCATGTGCTAGAGCTTGTTCTGCAGTTATTCGTTTCTCACTATCAAGCTCCAACATTAGTCCCAGTAAATCTATAGCTAAAGGGTTAGCACCAGATATATATCTTTGTAAGTCTTTTTTAGGCATAGGAGGTAAAGAACGCATATAATTTCTAGCACTTTCAGATGTAATTTTCTGCATGAAGTCCTCAGGTGGCGTTCCTAGAACTTCCATTATTAAATTGAGTTGATGAATGTGATCTGTACCAGGAAACAAAGTTTTCCCTGTTAATAATTCTGCCATAATACACCCCACTGACCAAATATCTACTGTCTGGTTGTAGTGCATCCAGTTAAGCATAATTTCTGGTGCTCTATACCACCTAGTTGCCACATATCCCGTCATTTCAGTTTCGGTAGGCCTAGCTAAACCAAAATCCAAAATTTTTAATTCACAGTCTTCATTTACAGCTATATTCGATGGTTTTAAGTCTCGATGTATTACTCCTGCTGAATGTATGTACTTCAAACCTCTCAGTATCTGATAAACTAAAAATTGCACATGGTCATCTGTTAATTTTTGTGTTCTGATTATATTATTTAAATCAGCACCCATCAAATGAGTAACTAAATATATCTGGCTATTGTCCTCTTTGGGATAAAATACATTTAAGAGTCCTATCACATTTTCGTGTCTCATATGTTTTAGCAGCTTTAACTCCCTATAAGTTCTCTTGGCATGAACAGCTGTTTGAAAAGGACGGGCTAATTTCTTTATTGCTACTTTTTTATTTGTTAGTGTGTCTAGTGCTGAACAAACTTGGCCGTATGCACCTGAACCCACTGTAGTGAGCGATTGGTATCTACTCGGCACCTCCCATACAGTTTTATTTACTTCGACTTTATGGAAATTAGACATTTTACGTTTAAATACAGGCTTAGAGTTCTATTTAAAACTTTAACAAACATCCACCATTATAGCTGTCACTGGCCCACTAACGAACTGGCCTTGTGGGATATTTGACAATTTGACATAATGTTAATTATTGTCATTTAGCCACCGGGCATTATACCAACATTATAAAAAAAGCTGTGTAAAATTATTATTAATCCAGTTAAAAAATTTTAAAACAATTTTTAAGAGTATTATTGGAAATGTATAACTTTTATTTTTATTAACAAGAATAAATAATTGAAACGGTTGATTAAATTTAACTATCAGATACAATGGATACAACAGATATACAAGTAATTTTTAAAATATATGTCTTTATTAAAACAATAATAATCAATCTTCTATAAGTTATTTTTAACATAATTAATAATAATTATAATTTTTTTCTAATCTTTAGTACTCTCGTAATATCTGGCTTAACAGCTTAATCAGACAAGGATTTTTCCAATATTTATTTTCAAAACAAATTTTGAATTTGATTAAACTCTTATTGTACCAATAAAAGCAGTTTTTTAATAATATATGAAAAGTATTACTAGATTAAACATAAACTTAAATAATGGAAATATTAAAAATGAAATCATTTTAATGCTTGATGCATTTTAAATATTTTTTTGACAATCATATGACATTTATTCTGTGGGAATAAAGAATAAACATGCGTTTAAGCTTTTGACAGTTATCATATATATATTTATGAAAACGAAATTTATGGTGAAAGTTGCTAGATATCCACAAATTTTTTTACTCATCATTTTACGAATGGAGTAAATAAACAGTCCTGAAGTTTTAAAAACTTTATTGCATTAATTTATCTTTAATGGTCATTTTTCTCATTGTTAACAAACAATAACTCAAGCTAATGGAAGGTGCATATAATAATATAGAACTGGGATGGATAGACCATACAAATTCAGCATGGGCGTTAAAGAACAGTGATAATATTGCTAATAGAGATCTAGTGCAATCAATGTATGATGTTCTTCTTCAAAGTAAAGAAATAAGAATCATTCCTTCTAATGGGTCATCTTATAGTGACATTCAAGTACTGCCCACCTTTCAGTTTGATCCCTTATCAGCAACCGATTTAAATCATTATATTACAACTTTATTAACTTCCCAGTTACAATTAGCCAAAGAAGTATGTTCATCCACACAGTTTTCTGTGATCTTGAAACAAAGGCTGTTAATTTTAAAAAGAATATATTATGGTTTACTAATGAAATACCATGATAAAGAAAAGACAGATAGTACTACTAGTGAACCTAGTACCAGCACCAGTGCAATGTCTTTGGCTCCCAGAGAGATAACATCAGGTTCACAAGCACTTTTGGAAGTAGGTGTAAAAACAGGTCTTAGTTTACTCTTCTCTCTACTACAACAAAACTGGCAAGTTAGTGGAATTCTTGGTAAGTAATTTTTTATAATTGAATCATATATTGCATTTGTTAGTTCTTTTAAGCATGTTATTCAATTTTTAAATCTACACACTTGTGATATATCAAAATAAAAATGTATAGTAAGAAGTTTTCTTAATACTAATTTATAACACAGTTCATAAGATAAATTCATGCTATATTGAAAGTCAAGATATATTGTTTTTATAAGTCTTTTTACAGCTATAATCAATGTTCAATTTAAAAGTATGAACCATAAAAATACAATATCTTGACCTAAACTTATATTATAGTGCTTATATTTTTACTATAAAACTATTATTATTTTTATTTGTTTTTATTATTACATTAATTCATAGCTAAAGGGTACATTTTAATTACTGGTCAGTTACAAAGAACCTATCATTAGATTAATAATATATAAGAACTAACCATTGAGTAGCATCAGCAGTATGGTTGACAGCAATAAAAATGTTCATAATTCTGGTGCAATGGTCATTCTAGATACTCTGGACTGCTATTCACACAAAACTAATCTGGAATATTGTAATTCTATTCCCATATGCATATAAAATAATTCAGTAAAAAATAATTCTTTATTTTGATAATCATAGTTCGTATTTGAATTCCGAGCAGTAAACACGTACTCATATCGCTCTCGAGATTCAAGTTTCAAGTTTTTCTGCCGGCCTCGGCTATCGGCCGGGACTAGTTTATTGCTGATAATTAGTGAAATAAAAATAAAAGTAAATAACTATTCTTAAGTGATTAATTTTAAATAACTATTTATGTGATTAATCTTTAACCAGTGGCGCACTATACTAAAGAAATGTACCACCAAAATTTACAAAATCAAGTGCCAAATGGGGAGTTGTATAATGTGCCCCAAATATATACCCAGCCTCAACAACCTCCAATAATATCGCCCCCATTCTATGGGTTCCCGAGCAATGTCCAACAGGTAACAAACCAATATATACCGGCTACTCCATTCCTAAACAATAATCACCAATATAACCTAAACCCTCCTGCACCTCCAATGGATCAACCAAATACATCAAATGCCACCCAATACACCCTCAGCGAAGAGGAAACTGTCATGGAAAACTCGAGCGACCAAGACGACGAAACCATAGAAAACGTTCACGATTGGCAAACAGTCAAAAAAATTACAAAAAAAAGGAAGGCAAACCCCAAAGATGACAACACAACAACGCAAGTGAGTACAAACAACAGATTTGAACCATTAGAAAACTTAAACGATAGTAATAACACACCAGTAACACCTAAACCTCCACCTATATTTATCTATGGGGTAAATGATATTAAAAAAATGACTGAAAACCTATCAACAGTCATTAAAGCTGAAGACTACCAGTTGAAAGCTCTTCCAAATGATACAATAAAAATAAACCCCAAAACTATAGAATCATACAGAAAACTTATACAGCATTTAAATAGCAACAAAATAGTTCACCACACATACCAAGCAAAACAAGATAGAGCTTATAGGGTAGTTATAAGGAATTTACACCACTCGATGCCGGTTGAAGAAATAAAAAGTGAACTAGGTAAATCGGGACATACTGTCCGTAATATCATTAACGTTTTGCACAGAGTCAATAAAACACCTTTGTCAATGTTCTATGTGGACCTAGAACCCAAAGAAAACAACAAACACATTTATACACTGGATCATATCGGCAATATGAAAGTCAGCTTTGAACCCCCTCACAAAAAGAACAATATAACACAGTGTCAGCGCTGTCAACGTTATGGACACACAAAAGCGTACTGTACAAGACCATACGCATGCGTGAAATGCGGAGGAAGTCACCCATCACCAAAATGTACAAAACCCAGAAATACACCAGCAAAATGTGCCCTGTGTACAGGAGAACACACTGCAAACTATAAAGGCTGTGTAATTTACAAGGACTTACAAAATGCAAGAAATAATCGCCAAAGCGGAAATCAGTCGACCCATAATAATCCGAACCCACATCAAAATGTTAACCCAGCACCAACTTCACAGTACCAGAGTCAACAATCACAGTACCAACAACAGAATGGAACCCAATCCTATGCCCAAGCAGTAAGAGCAGGAAATCAAGTAGCTGACATAGGGTCTCAAATGAACTTATTCTTAAACGAATTTAAAGCAATGTTCACCCAACTAATGAATCAAAACAGCATGATCCTTACCATGCTAACAACATTAATTAACAAAATTCGTTAGATCTGTTCGAATCGCCGAGTGGAACGCAAATGGTTTAGCAAACCATAAAGCAGAAGTAATCCAATTCCTAAAGGACAACAAAATAGACATCCTTCTTGTATCTGAAACGCATTTCACAGAAAGAAGCGTCATTAAAATACCTCAATACTCAGTCTACCACACTAGTCACCCAGATGGAACAGCCCATGGAGGATCCGCAATAATTATAAGGAACAATATACAACACCATCAAATGCCGGAACATAAAACAAATGAGATTCAAGCAACAATACTTAATATAAATGCCAGGCCTTGGGACTTCGAAATTGCTGCAATATATAGTCCTCCTAGATATAGAATCACAACTGAAGAATACGAAGAACTATTCAATAAGCTAGGTAACAAATTCATTGTTGGAGGTGATTGGAATGCTAAGCATACGAATTGGGGCTCACGACTCATTACACCAAAAGGCAGAAGCCTATTAGATGCCATCAACAACACAAACTGCACCTACTTATCGACGGGACAACCAACATACTGGCCATCCGACATAAATAGACTACCAGATCTACTAGACTTCTTCATCCTAAAAGGAATTGCAGCAAACTACACAGACATAGAAGCAAATTGGGATCTCTCGTCTGACCATACACCAATCATAGCAACACTCAGCACCCACATAATGAAACGACCTGAAATACCCAAGTTAACGTCCCCTAAAACTAACTGGTGTGAATTCAAGTACCAGCTTGACATGAATCTAAGTCTTGGAATCAGACTAAAAGAAAAAGATGACATAGATAAAGCTATAAACTATCTCACCTGTCAAATTCAACAAGCTGCATATCGAGCTACACCATCAACTCCAAAGCAAGAAAACACAAATACCACTCCGAATTATATCAGACAACTAATAGTCGAAAAACGAAGAGCAAGAGGTAGATGGCAAAGAAGCCGCAATATTAATGACAAACACGAATATAATCGACTAACCAGACAATTAAGAACAGCGCTAAATGATGCACGCAATGCCACATTTGAGCACTACATTAGTACCTTGTCTAAAGAAGATCACTCAATATGGAAGGCAACAAAACACTTAAAGAGACCTACAGAACACAACCCACCAATTAAGAAAGATGACGGTACTTGGGGAAGATCAGACCAGGAAAAAGCGTTAACTTTTGCAGAATACTTAGCTGGTATTTTTAAAGAACACCAAGCAGATAATGATAACAATGGAAACTTAATAAGAGAATTCCTGGATAGTGCTTGCCCTATGACGCCCCCAATAACACCATTCAGTCCATCAGAAGTGAAACTAGAAATAGAAAAATGCAATAACCACAAAGCACCTGGATTTGACCTAATAACAGGATTAATACTGAAAAATCTTCCGAGAAGAGCATTGGTCATGTTAACTACAATATACAATAGTGCACTCAGACTGACATATTTCCCAATCACATGGAAATTTGCGCAAATAATAATGATTCACAAACCAGGCAAACCTCCAAATAAAACATCATCCTATCGACCAATCAGCCTGTTGCCGACAATGTCTAAAATCTTCGAAAGACTACTACTTGATAGACTGAAGAAGGACATTAACCTAGACGCAGAAATACCCACACACCAGTTTGGTTTTAGAGAGAGACATTCCACAACACAACAGACTCATAGAATCATAACAAAAATCCTTACTGCTATTGAGGAAAAAAAATATTGTACAGCGGCATTCTTAGATGTAGAAAAGGCGTTTGATAGAGTATGGCACACTGGACTCTTATACAAACTCAAAAGCATTCTTCCAACTCCCTACTACCTAATTATGAAATCCTACATTGAAGATCGTTACTTCCAAGTAAAATATAACACAGCAACTTCCACATATTTTCCCATTAAATCAGGCGTACCACAGGGTAGCGTCCTGGGTCCTCTCCTTTACCTATTATTTACCGCAGATATCCCAACCACTGAAACAACCCAAATTTCAACGTTCGCTGATGACACCACCATAATCGCTGTCAACGAGGACCCCATTATCGCGTCTGCACAACTGCAAAACCACCTTAACCAATTGGGAACATGGCTCAACAAATGGAAGGTGAAAGTAAATGAAACGAAGTCATCCCAAGTTACATTTACAAACCGAAGGGATGTATGTCCAACAATCACATTAAACGATACACAATTACCAGTCAGCACACAAGTTAAATATTTGGGACTAACCCTTGACAAAAGATTAACATGGAAGCCACACATTCAAGCCAAGAAAACCCAGATCAACATCAAAATACGACAAATGAGCTGGCTTATGGGTCGAAAATCAAAACTCAATACTGAAAATAAACTGCTCCTGTATAAATCTATGATAAAACCAATTTGGACCTATGGCGTTCAACTCTGGGGTTGCTCAAAGCCATCAAATATCAAGATAATACAAAGAGTCCAATCAAAAATATTGAGAATAATATTCAACGCGCCCTGGTATGTAAGCAATAAAACCCTACACGAGGACTCAGCTACACCTTTGGTAGAGGAAGAAATTCAAAGGATCACAAAGAGCTACCTTGATGGTCTGAGAAGTCATCCAAATGATGAAGCAAGACTGCTAAACGCTCCTCCCGAATTCGCAAGACGACTGAAGAAACAATGGCCAACAGATTTAATAAATTAAATATATTATGATCTAATGTAAAAAATATAATAGGAGAGTTGCCACAGGGCAGCTTCTCCCTCATGTATTTAACATTCAAACTATTTACTTATAGCTTCGATGAAGCAGATTGTAAATTAAATTATGCTATAAAAAAAAAAAAAAAAAAATTTTGATAATCATATTTAGTCAGGTGCTTATTAAAGGGCTTACTTTTAGCCTCATCAGTGTTGTATCAGATAATAAGGAAACTGCAGAGTAACCTTAGTAGGGGTAACCTGATCTTAGTAGGAAATACTAAAAAGGATTATAACTACAATGAATGAATGCATGCAGTAGAGTTAGATACAGGGAGAGTGTTATTTTTTGTCAACTAATAAAAAAAGTTGTCATTTTTAATATCTAACATAAATTAAAAATTTGGTTCTTGCTTGTATAACATTATATTGTAAATAACTTTGTTTTCAGGTATTCCATCACTGTGCAATTCTGTTCTGGAAACAGCTGTAGGGTTAATGGATAGACTTCCACCATTGTGTCTTTCTAATGAATCCCAACTTACAAATTTGGGCATCAGTAGCTTAGATCAAGTTTGTTCTTTTTTAAAAACTGCAGTTTTGCTTGAAAATGCTGCTGATAACAATGGAAAGTTGCTTTGTTGTGAAATACTTTTAGGTTTAGCCTTACAAAGGGGTTCTTTAAGATACCTTCTTGAATGGATAGATATGGCATTAGATGCGTCTTGTAAAGAGCCTATACTTCAAAGCAAGTTAGCAAAGAAAGCAATATCTCAACTTGAAAGTCACAAAAAATGCAAAGATAAAGTTTTCACAGACCAAGTTGATGACGAAATGGGGGTATACACAACTGCTTTGTTTCTGATGGAGATTTTGGTGTCCATGGCAACTGATGATGGAGGTGCTGGATCTTGTATAGAAACAGATGCAGACTTGGGAGCCTATGAAAAATGTGAAGTATATGTTTGGGGAAGCAATTCATCCCACCAGCTAGCAGAGGGCCACCATGAAAAAATATTGATGCCCATTAATTCAAAGATATTTAGTCAAGTGCAACAGGTAAGTTATAAAACGATTTTTGAAAGTTTTTATAAAGAAAACATATTTCTTCCATTTTTTCTTTTACTCAGGTGACTGCTTTCTATATGTGACCAATTATAATATCTGATTATTAGATTAATTCTAAGCATAGGTTTGCATTTACGTTTTATCATCTTTTATTCTTCATTCCAGGGTTTAAGCTTCTTCATTCCTGTTCCCATATTAAAACTGTTCATCATTCCTGCACTTCTTTTTTACCTGAATTTTTTTACAGGGATGTAACTTGTGCTACAGTTGACAGCTACATGTGAGAAAGGGCCTGACTAGTCCAATGCGTCAAATATGTATAACAATTATGTTCCTATGTATCTAGTAGTGTCACATGTACTATATATTTTCAGGATTCTAATCCAATATATACATACTCATTAAAATTTTCAGATTGAGGCTGGTCAGTACTGCACATTTGCCATTCACTGGGATGGATTTGTCACTGCCTGTGGAAAAGGTAGTTATGGTCGTTTGGGCTTAGGAGAATCAGCAAACCAGTGCCTTCCAAAACGAATATTGTTGGATCCTGTTGTTAAAAAATTATCTAGTTCAAAAGGCAGTGATGGTCATACTTTGGCGTTAATGGAAAATGGGCAAGTTTACAGCTGGGGTGATGGAGACTATGGAAAGTTGGGGCACGGAAATTGTGCAACACATAAACAACCAGAGAGAATAGGTGGACCCTTTTTAGGAAAAACTATTAAATTTATCAATGCAGGTAATTATATAATCTATGTTCTGTATAATAGATACAAATGAATAACATTGTTTTGGAATTGTTTCTTTTTGTATCTCAACTGTTATGAAATATATGTTTGTTGGTAATTAATGACGAGTTGTGACAATTGAATAAAGAGACTATGCTGGTAACGCTGCTACAAGAGAAGTCTATTGGTGCCAAATGCCTGATAACTATGTAGAGTGGGGCCTGGTCTTTCAATCTCAGTAACTCCTGGTCCTGTTAATATATCCTTATAGCCATATCATTTGTTTTCTTACTTGTTTTTCTTCAATTGTTGTCAAATTGAAATTGGATGCTAGGAAACCTCACATTCAAGCCAAGAAAACCCAGATTATCATTAAAGTAAGACAAATGAGCTGGCTCAGGTCTAAAATCAAAACTACTCATAGAAAAAATAAGCTGTTCCTGTACAAATGTATAATAAAACTGATTTGGACCTATGGTACCCAGCTTTGGGGTTGCTCAAGAGTATTAAGAATGATGTTGGATGATATCTGGTTTGTAAGCAATAATACCAATGAATATCAAGAATTGTGAGTCAATTGAATAAACTATGGCCAGAAGACTTAACAAATTGTGTAACATAATGTTAAGTGTATAAAAGGAGGGTTGTCAGAGGACAGATTCTTTCTCATGTTAACCAATAAACATTCAAACCATTTACTTATAGTTTCAAATGAAGCAGATTATAAATTAAGTTGTATTCAAAAAAATCAGTACAGTGTTGATATATTGGAGGTTTTTCAGAATTATGGCCTGACAAGATTTGATGTATTGTTACAATTGATGGTAAAATATATTGCTGCCCTTATTCCGCAAGGAATAAACTAGAAAGCATGTACTTTGGAATAAGTCTTTCTTCAAAACATCAGAAATTTGTTTTTTAAATCTATACCAAATTTAACTTAAAGATGCAGTAGCAGTAAACAAACCAAGACACATTATCAACATTATGAGTATTACGAGGAGCAATCCCAAATCATGATTTACAATGTATAAACGTACATAATATCCACCTCATAAACTATATAAATAGACATCGTATACGTAACTCAAGTATTAACAGCATACAATATCATTTAGTAGTCCTTGTACGCGGAAGAATTGCTATAACTTAGTTGGACTACTGTTGTTCTAGTGATAATATTTTAGCCAGGGCGTGCGTCAGGGAATTATAGTGCTTGAATTTATTCATTTATAGTTATAATAAATGTTATGATTTATATTTTATGATCAGAAGAATAACAAAGATAACAAAGAAACAAAGATAAAATCAAATTAATAAATGTTACAATAAGGTTTTCCAACAACATAATAATGTGAATTCGTTATTGTAATGCATTTAATTAATAAAATTAAATTAAATATGTAAAAATTGTTTTAAAATTAAATGTAATATTTAATGGCGGTTTCCCACCAAACGGACAAAATAAAAACAAAACACAAACTCGTGTCCAATAAAACAAAATAGCAACTTTTCACAAACTTTTTAAAGACTGGCGTGTTTTGAAACAGTTCGTTTTGTTTTTCGAGTCACGAGTTTTTGAAACTCGAGTCTGTTTAGTGAAAACGGTCAGTTGTGTATTAATGGACTACCTCACCTCTGAAGTCACAATGAGCGGGGCTTTGAAAACCTTTCTAAACATTTCTACACTAAATACAAGATAGAGCTGCAGTAAGTATAAATAAACCGTCAACAGTATGAATGTTACGAGGGGCACTCTCAAATCATGATTTTAACGATGTATAAACCTATATTTTCCTGTATTATGAAATACATATGAAACTATGAAGTAGACATCGTAGCATAAGTTGCGGCCGACCGTATGATTTATAGTCATTATATTTATAGTGATTATTGACTCAAGCAAGGCGTCTGGTTGAGTTCAAAATAAACAACTGATTGACTCCTAACAGGCAAAATAGAAAATGAAAGGAGAGGGAATAACGATTATATTAAGATAGACAAAACAAACAAGATGACTACCAAAACGGCACTACACAGCATCTTCGTTATTAATAGACGTATAGTTACATACGAGATATCATAGGACGCTATGGATGAAAATAGATTTACTATAAGACAAATTTTGATTTATTGAATCAAGGAAGGCCTCTGACTGAGTTCAAAATAAACAACTGATTGAATGCTAACATTCAGCATAAAAAATGGAAGGTAAGGGGATAAAGATTATATTACGATAGACAAAACAAACAAGACGACTACCAAAAGGGTACTACACAGAATGTTCGTTATTAATGGACGTATAGTTACATACGAAATATCATAGAACGCTATGGATGAAAATAGATTTACTATAAGACAAATTTTGATTTATTGAATCAAGGAAGGCCTCTGACTGAGTTCAAAATAAACAACTGATTGAATGCTAACATTCAGCATAGAAAATGGAAGGTAAGGGGATGAAGATTATATAACGATAGACAAAACAAACAAGACGACTACCAAAAGGCACTACACAGCATGTTCGTTATTATTGGACATATAGTTACATACGAGATATCATAGGGCACTATGGATGAAAATAAATTTACTATAAAACAAATTTTCATTTATTGACTTCAAGAAGGCATCTGGTTGACTAAAAAATAAACAACTGATCGAATCCTAACATGCGACATAGCAAATGAAAAGGGACGATATAACGAATCTATTAAGATATGTAATTGATTTTCTATCTTAATATATTCGTTATATCCTTCCCTTTCATTTACTATTTCGCATGTGAGGATTCGATCAGTTGTTTATCTTGTACTCAGTCAGACGCTTTTTCATCCGTAGTGCACTATGATATCTCGTATGAAAGTATACATCCATTAATAACGAAGATGCTTCGTAGTGCCCTTTTGGGTCGCCCTGTTTGTTTTTTCTTTCCTTAAGTAATCGTTATAGCTCTCCTTTCATTTTCTATATCGCGTGATAGGATTTGATCAGTTGTTTATTTTGTACTCAGCCAGAAGCCTTTTTTGTCAATCAATCAAAATTTGGCATACGGTTTTGATTTCGTATTAAATTATTAAAACAATATGTACAATTACACGTGAGTTTTATTGTTTTTCAAATAAAAACTGAAAACATAATAATAAGTTACTACTTTTGATTCGAACTAACACACAATTTACTTTAAAAAATAAGTGTATTTGATGTTTCGATTTCGATAATTTAAGTGTCAAAACAACGTTGCAATTACTGCTTTATTATTTTTGTCAAACCATAAGTTTCTTTTTATTTTACAGTAGGGACGTTTATTTTGAATTTCCTTGAAAATAATACTAACATTGTATATTTTATCTTCTTTGTTCATAGTAAACAAATCTTTAATGGTACATACTGTTTTATTAATTTGATAGGAAATAGGAAATATAAGCAAAACCGCACGCCTATGGAGTCTTACGTGGCATAGCCTGGTTTTGTTTACTTTTACTGCACGTCGAATTTGAATCAACTTTAGTTATTCGATTATCCATAATGTTTTTGATTATAATTTTTAATATTTCAGGTTACAGTCATAGTGCAGCTATTACAGACGATGGAAAACTTTACACATGGGGTGAGGGTGATCACGGAAGGCTAGGCCATTTAGACAGTAACGGCAGGCATATTCCAACGTTGGTCCAGGATTTGGCTGACATAGAAGTCGGCAGTGTAGCCTGCGGCAGCTCGCATACTTTAGTTGTTTCAAAGGATGGTAAAACTGTATGGTCTTTCGGATCTGGAGAAAATGGGAAACTAGGACATGGTGAAATTGCTAAGGTTTATAAACCAAAAATAATAGAAGCATTACAAGGATTGATTATACAGAAAGTGTGCGCTGGAAATTCATTTTCTATGGCGTTGACTACTATGGGGCAGGTATGTATTTTAAGAATCGATTTTTTGACATCGACATATTTTAATTGTTAGCGCTTATATATTGGTAATTAGATTTTAACAAATTAACACATACTTCTAAACAGATTTTTGGAGCATTCTTGAAGAATATTCAAATATACTTTCATCACTAATTAATAAAATTATTCCAGAAGGGATGTATATGTGATATACAATTGAATTTGTTAATAAATCCTTTAAATTCGGTTGCTGACCCTGTAACTATTTACCTTTTATACAGGATTTTTAAATAACACTTTTGTGATTTATGGTGTACAGCTAACTACAGGAATTTTATTTTCATCATGGCCTAATAAATTGTAATATTTTGTACACAATAGTAATTTTTTTTTTATAAATTTTCGTTTGTAGTACAAATAAAGAGTTTTAATTGTTACCTTTAGGTGTACACATGGGGAAGTGGACCAATCTTGGGTATGGGTTCTGCAGACGCAATTTGCTTGAGACCACTTCTCGTCGAAGATTTATCACCGTACAGAATAATTGACATATCTGCAGGAGGCACGCATTGCCTTGCTCTTAGTGACGAACATGTCGTGATCGCTTGGGGAACCAACAGCATGGGACAATGTGGTCAGGGACATATTTCAACTCCGATAACAAGGCCTGTTAAAGTTAAAGGTTTAGAAGGAGTGCCTATAAGGCAGATTAGTGCCGGTAAGATATGCATTACATTTTTTTTTATGTGTAAGGTAAACTATGTTTAGGGTAGGACTTTTCTTGTTGTGCCTCTCCCATTAGAAACTACATATCATTTTGATATTTTTACCACTGCTGTAAAAAGCTTATTTTTGGTCCTGGCAAACCATTCTCTCAAATTTGACATACTGTTAGTCTTTTCCCTATTGATCGATAGTATCATACTTCAAAACTTTTGAAAGGTAAATGGGTATTTAAGAAAAATAAACTATTGTTACGCTACTGATTCCTGACTATAACGGTTAAAACTACTAGTCTAGACCAGAGAATTCGATGGTTGCCTGATCAATGTTATAAATTCATTATTATAAGTCTCAAATAAATTATTGTACCAAGCAAGTTGTAAATAAATAAGATAAATTGCAGTAGTTGCATTCTAGTTATAAGTGTTAGTAAATACTCTACTATTTTACAAGTAGTATACTATGTTCATACTGTTGCTCAAAAGTAGAGCAGCAAATTACGCAAATCACGGCGTAGTCTACAAATTGTAGATACTAATTTAGACTGTGGAGATTAATTTAGTTTAAGTTTACGTTTGGTTAGTAAACTAAAATCCTTTTAAATGGAAAAATATCTGTTTTAGGTACATCTCATTCTATAGCATGGACTTCCACTCCTTCGGAAAGCCCCCACGTAACAAAACACCGACCGTTTTGTTTAGATTTACACGAGAACACTTTTGGATCCTTAAAAGTATTTTTAGAGAAGTATACAGTTACTTTTAACTACAGTACGCCTCCTAAGCCGTTCAAAACGGCCGAAGAACACCAAAGGTTTGTCTTATTGACGTTAAAACTTCTATGTACACATTTGAATTTGTGTATAAATGGAAATTTAAGTACTAGTGTTTTGAACACGCATGCCAAAGCTCTACGAGCTGTATTATTTAGGTAAGATCTCAGTTTTACTATTGATTTACATTTGTCTATGTTTAAACAGTTTGTCGACGGATGGGGCTAAGAGGAGAAACTAATTTATAACGAAAAATGTCATTCTTGATAAAAAGTTTTGTTTATTCTAAAACCTCATAAAATTTTTAAAAAGTTTCTTAAAACCAGCTTCTTCTTAGTAGTCAAAAAATGATCATCAGCATATGATTGATTCATTTTGTTGACGTAGACATTATTTCGCTTATCCTGATCTTTTAAATTTTTTTTAATCCATCAATCCATCTCCTTCGCCACCACTCCTTCATTTGCTTCCAGGAGGTATATTTATGTATATAAATGTTTGATATTTCAGGTTAGTTGATATTGATGCACCATCAGATATACACAACACTGCCAGAGAAGTCCTGAATATTGGGGCTCCTCTTCTTCTACCCCAGTTAAACGAGAGGGTTGAATTCCTGCACCTGCATTTGTCTAGTGGCAATCAATTGACGCAGGGTCAACAGATGCTGCTAGGAATTATTTTAAATAGTTTAGAAGACCCCATATACATAGCTGCGTTATTAGGTTATAGTAGTACTCCGGAAAAAGTAGAAGACTTGCAATTAACTGGGATGCTTATGCATACTCTGTTAAAATCATTCACCAAAAACACGGTAAGTTCAAATGTTCCGTGTTTGAAACTTTGAACTTCATAGTTATCAGTAGAGTTCCGATTTAAAAGCACAAAGAAACGCAAAAATGCGCTTAACAAGCTTAACGATTTTATGAAAAAAAAAAAGCATGAAAATAAGTATATAAATTTTGACAAAATACTACCTAAAAGAAAATAATAATTTCTAAGCTTAGCTTAAGAAGTAGGAAGTACCTATTATAAATTTAAAAATAAAAAAAAGTAGATAACAAACATTAGAGAAAAAAAGTAGGAAACAAAAATACTTTAACCCTTTCATTACTGATTTCATTGTAGCCAAATAAAACTGTTTAAAATGACTTTAATGATATTCGTTGATACCTAGCAACAAAGCGATTGAGTTTTTTTACATTGTTGCGTCCTTGCATCCTTATAAAGGACATGGAACATATATTTCCCATTACCCATTAGTGTTGAATGGCCGGATAAATTAATCCCATCAGTAAAGAAACAAACTTATATTCCAAATAAAAAAAAGTACATTACACAAAAAACATTACTTCTTATAAATGATGTGGTAAAAAACAATTGTTTTGTAATTCTATTTCGCCTAAAACATCCTGACAATCTTTTATCGCTTTTCTAGCAGTATCTTAAAGTTACAATACGAAGCTTTTACAATTTTCGATATATTCGGCGTAGTATAAAGCTGCTTCTAACCATGTACCCCACCAAGTTAACACTGGTTCAGGTGATAATGGAACGTTAGTTAATCTTTCTCTAAAAAGTTGCACCTTAAAGAAGCTGTAATGACAAAATTTTTCCCATTTTTATTAACTCATTAATAAGTGGAAATTGCAGCCGTATAGACATATACATAGACATGTCATGTTTAACCTAGAAATTGATTACAATATTATGACATACGTCAGTTACAATTTCCAATCTCACCAAATCTAATAATAACGTCATATAAACTCGGCACTAGTTCTAGCCAATGAAATGAATGCTGTAATAGGAATCGCATATCAAGAAAATCTGAATATTCCCTACATATTTTTTCAAATTTAAAATATGGCAACAAGGGAAAATCGCGTACGATCATCATTGTTCGACTTTTCCTATAGTGCTAAAATGATTACAATTTTAAGTTAAAATTCATCTAGGGAATGTTATCTGCAAAATAAGTTGTAATAAGTAATAGTCTTAGTAGCAAAATATTTTGTTTTAGGAGGAAACATTGGAGAGTATTTTGAACTATATGTCCATTACTACCAAATTTAAATGGCAAAGCCCAGGAAATTCGAAAATCTACAATCTCCAGCGACTTCTTTCCTCCCTTCAAGATCACATGCTAGCTCACTACACAACTTCATTGAAACATAAATTCACCTTCCAAGAAAACGATTTGTTCCTAACTCACGTATCTCACGTGTTCCAATTTGCCATAAAAATACTGAAGAGGGCCGCTAATATACTTATAATGTATCCATCTAGTTTAGAATTGCTTTACAATGTTCTTTTAGAATCGGCTACTGGAGCTATGTTGTTTAAAATATTGAACTCGCTTCTACTCATACCAGCAGCTTACATCAAAAACATGTATCCGCTTTTGCTGGAATTAATGGATCCCATAGATAAATTTAATCAATTGCTGCCAAGAGAATTGCTGAGGGGAGAGAAAAATTCTTCCAGTAAGTATTAAAATTTTTAGATAAAGGCCATCAAGTTATTGCGATAGTGATAAAATGAAACTTTTTTTATAATAACGTTAAGACAAGGTTGAGAGGTTGTTTTACAACATAAAACAATATTAAAGACACTTATGTGAATATTTTTGGTAAATTGATTTGTTAAATAATTATGTCTAATTTATATTTATATACTTAATATATATTTATATAATTTATTTATATTTATTATATTTTGCTTCCAACTCTTCTCTTGTCCCTTCTCTCATAAATAATTTTATAGACCCTCTTGACATTACACATGTCAATGAACCTTTTATCGTCTATGTACCAAAATTAGCCTTATCCTCCTGTAGAAGCAATGCAGCAGGCCCTGATAACATCCCATACATTTCTTAAAAAAGCACTCAGATGTCTCCCTTGGCAAACTACGGGATTTTTATAATCTTTTATGGAATTCCCAGCAATTTCCAGTGAGATGGTGTGATTCTACTATTAGTCCAATAAGGAAAAAGGATCAAACCTCCTCATTACCAAAGTCTTATCGTCATATTTCTCTTACTAACACTACTACACACTGCACTACTTACTAACACACTGTAAACTTCTTGAGATAATTATTAATACAAGACTCCTACGATTTGTGGAAGACTACAATCAAATTCCAAATTTTCAATTCGGGTTTCGGCGTAATCGATCCACTCGGGACAACCTTGCCCTTCTACAAACCCACATTTAAACAGCACTCCATATTAATCCATATTGAATAAACTACGTCATTGTAACCTTAACGTAAATATTTTTCACTGCATAGGAAAGTTCCTGCAACCCAGATCTTTTAAAGTATTTGTTAATGGACAGTCATCTATCTATAAATGACATATGCAATAACTTTCCCAATCCTATTCAATACGTTCAACATCCCGATGACCTTATTATCTATTGCCATGGGAAAAAATTAACACTTCCTGTCAACTCTTACAGTATTCAATCGATCTCCTGCAAATCAAAATTCAAGACCTAGGTTTATCCTTATCACTAACAAATCTAAAGTTATTAGATTCAGCAGAAAAGCCACGTCCCCAGCTCCACTAATCTCAATCTACAACGACCCCATGAATTTAGTGGATAATTGTAAAATTTTGGGAATGATCTTTGATTCTCGACTAAACTGGAAACATCACGTAAATCTTTCCAAAAGCTACTGCCTTAAGCAATTCAACCTAATAAAAACTCTTTCACACTTTTGTTGGGGTACTGATGAGAATTTAATTCTTACTCTGATACGATCCAAAATAGATGACGGCTGCTTTATCTACATGTCCATCTCCAAATCTGACATAAACTATTAGATTCTATCCAAAATACTGCTCTTCGTCTATGCCTCGGAGCTTTTCGCTTTAGTTCGCAGCCTTTCGAAATAACCCTGATAAAAACAACAACAAAATTCCTTGAAATACAGTAAAATATAATTAAAGTTTTAACCAAACAATAACATAACCTTAAAATATGAACATTTATAGTAAATATCTTAATACTCTGATATTCTTACCTCACAAATTCACGAACAAAAAATAATACCAATCGCACAGAATGAATGTTCATAACCAAAAGTCCTTATTTATTCTTAAAACAATTAAAATAATCAATATTTCCAACTTCTTATGGGACAAATACACACAAATTAGAAATGTTTGGGAAGGTTGGAGATATACATGCAAATAGGAATGTCAACTATTGGTTTGTATTATAAATTTTGAAACTTAAGGTAGAAAATGAGGTTATAGCAAAAATTGGAAATTATATTAATGGTTGCATAGATCTACCAAGGTATATCAGTTGGAAATATAAATGGGGGACATATGGCGCATTCAATAATATACAATTAAATATGTGTAACGGGTGTAAGTGTATGATATCTATATTGAATGAGTTTATGTGTAGTAATGTTATATTGATAGTCTAAGAATCCGGTTGTTAAATGAGAAAATGATAAAAAATGTGAGTTTTATATGACATAATTTTGTTATTAATGACGGTCAATGGAAGTAAAAAGTCAGAAACTTCCTCTTTATATATTTGCAACATTTGATAAATCAATTTGTTGTTTTTTTTCAGGAAGCGAAACTCCCACTCTAGATCAATTGGCCGAACAATCCTGGGTGTGGATAGTCGATCTACAGAAAACCTGCTCACTGGTAGTCGGCCATTGCCTAGGTGGCATGCTAGTAGGCGACCAACCAACGTACTACGAAAATCTTTGCCGACACTGGCTTTCCAATGAAATATTCTCTTCCGGTTTAGAGAACGAAACTATCGATCTAGAAGCTCTAACGGAATTGTCCTACCAAGCAACATCAAAAAACGCCGAACAGATTTTAATTACTTTGGACAAATTACCTTCACCCGTCGAAAGCCTTTGCAAAGTGGTATTTGAACTTCCTTGTCAATACGACGAGGCTTGCGCAGTACCTCCGGATGAACTAAAAACCAGTAACGCCTTTTATAACAAATTAATGGAAGATATAGAAATAGAACCGTGGGAATTTGATGAGGACGACAAGAACGTTTTGGATACCGTTACCAAATGCTATTTAATGACGCTGTTAATACACACGCGGTTAATACACAAACCTTCCTCGCATCCTGCAGTGAAGGAGGTTTACAGGAATGTTTTAAATTTACGACAAAAAATGATTGGTCTGATCTACTGCGACGAGTACAAAGACGAACTCATCGGAGACAAAGACGCTGAGAATGAGCAGTCCGAAAATTTTAATGCCAAAGACGTCGTATCTGTGGACGAGGAATATAATTTTAAATCTTTTTGCCAAGGAATTCTGAAAAGATCTTTATTCATGTTATTATTTGTTAAAAGTAAGTATATTTTATTAAATCAATATCATCATCCAGCCTCAAGAGTCCACTGCTGAACATAGGCCTCTTCCTCATGTTTCCAACCCCGTATATCTTGCGCCGCTCTTATCCAGTTTTTATTGAGTCTTCTTAAATCGTCATTCCATCTTGTAGGTGGTCGACCGACGCTTCTCTTGTCTTCCCTTGGCCTCCATTCCAATAACCTCTTTGTCCATCGCCCATCTGTCATTCTGGCTATGTGTATTGCCCATCTCCATTTTAGTCTGGCTATCTTCTCGATGATGTCAGTCACTCCGGTTCTTCTCCTGATGTCTTCGTTTGTTATTCTGTCTCGGAGAGTTATTCCTAACATGGACCGCTCCATTCTTCTCTGCGTGACTCTCAGTTTGGTAGCTGCTGCTTTTGTTAAGGTAAGTGTTTCTGCTCCGTACGTCAAGACTGGGAGGACGCACTGATCAAATACCTTTCTCTTTAGGCATGTGGGCAGCTCACTTTTAAAAGCTTCTCTCATGCTCTTTTAAGTTTTCCAAATGCTGCCCACCCAAGGGCGACTCTTCTCTTCAGTTCATGAGTCTGGTTATCTCTGCCAATCATAATTTCATGTCCCAGGTATTTATATCTATCTACGAGTTCTATTTCTTTCCCACCAATACTGATGTTCTGGTTGGGCACCAAATTGGTCATGATTTTTGTTTTTGAGATATTTATATTTAAACCTACATTTTCTGTAGCCACAACGAGTTCCTGTACCATCTCTCTTGCCATACCTAGATCTTCAGCTATTATAAGTATATCATCGGCGAAACGTAAGTTGTTTAGATATTCTCCATCTATTTTTATTCCCTTTGTCATCCAATCCAAATTCTTAAAAGCATGTTCTAGCACCGTATTAAAAAATTTTAGTTGACATTGGGTCTTCTTGTCTAACCCCCCCCCCCGTTCTATTTTTATGCGATTACTGTTAGTATGTAATTTGACAGTGGTTGTTGCCTGCAGGTATATTTTGTATAATAATTTAGTATATCTATAATCTAGCCTGCATTCTTTAAGCGCCTGTAATATTTTGCTTAGCTCAACTGTGTCAAAGGCTTTGTGAAAATCGATAAATATTAGAACTAGAGGTTTATTGTATTCCACTGCTTTCTCTATTAGGGTTTTTATACTTTGTAGATGGTCATTTGTTCCGTAACTTTTTCTGAATCCTGCCTGTTCCCTTGGTTGATAAGTCTCTAATTTTCTTTTTTTTTTCTAATTTTCTAATTTTTTCTTTTCTCTAAGTCTCTTTCTTTAAATCAATATAGTTATGATCTTTTTTACTTAATCAAAGTAGATGTTAAATAATATATAGTCTGTGAAGTTTGCATGCGCCTCTCATTTATCGTGAACAAGGAATTTTCAATAATTCTTGTGTTAGAAATAATTATTTATGTAAATTGTTTATTAACCCACTTACTACATACACTTACATAATCAAACCTCCACAAAATGATACATTCAAGACCCTGGCACAGTAATAGATATAAATTGAACATTTGCCTTCAGTATCTAGACTTGAGTACTTTATTGCTTCTCAAAATATGTTCCACCAAGATCGATACACTTTTCCAATTTCCACTTTTAAAATTCTTAATCTTTGGGAACGTGAAGTCGTTGGGGCTTAGGTCGGGGCTAAACGGTACATGGTTAAAAAAATTGGTGGTATTGTAGTTGTACTGCAAGTTGTCGTCTTTCAATCGTTTAGCAACGTAGTGAGAAATCTCTATTGGAACCAACAGGCTGTGGCCACACTAGACGGAAATAGCACGGATGCGCAACAGATAAGTAGAGGACTGAGACAGGGCTGTGTACTTTCACCATTACTATTTAATATATATTCCCAAGAGATTTACGCAAGCACTTGAAAACTATACAGGAGGGATCAAGATACATGGTGAAAATATAAATAACATCCGTTATGCTGACGATACAGCCATTACCGCTGAAAGTGAGACAGACCTGCAGATGTTACTAAACACAATTTGTGATAATGGGGAACAGTTTGGTTTAACAATAAACATAACGAAAACAAAAACGGTGGTTATCAGTAAGAGGGGCAAAGTCATTACAAGGATCCAGATAAAAAAATGAAGATATTGAACAAGTGGACAAAATAAAATACTTAGGAGTCTAGATTACGGAAGATCTGAATCCGAAATCAGAAATTCGCTCAAGAATAGAGCAATCAAGAGCAGCCTTTTTGAAGAAAAGAAAATTTCTGAGTAACCAAAGACTCAATCTGCAAATCTGATATCGGATGGTAAAAATGTTATTAAAAGGCGAAAGACAGCATATTTGGGGCACATACTTAGAAATGATAAGTACAGTTGCTGCAGCTAATTATGAAGGGTAAAATCGAAGAAAAAAGGGGTCCTGTTAAGAAAAGCAGAAGATAAAGACGAATTTGCAATGGTTATAGCCAACCTTCATTAGTGAAGACGACACTAGAAGAAGAAGAATGGTTTAGGAAAGCGGCATCTTTGCATCATATTTCTTTTATTTTAATATTTTCACTATTAATAATATTTTAAGAAATTAAACAGATATAGATTTTTATCAAAATCCTTTCTACCATGTAATGCTGAAGGTAATGGATTTGAATATATTGCTTATCTTTTTATAGACATACATGTGGAAATTTCCCTCTCATCGTCTCATTCTGAATCGGAGGAAACGGAAACTGAAAAAGCATACGTCGAATATTACAAAGCACATAAAGAATCAGCGTCGTTGAACGATCTTCGAAAAATCTGCCATTCTCTGCAATGTTTTGTAATGAATGAGTCTACAGAAAAGAACAGAACTAGCATGACGAGAGAGAAGGGTTGGTGCACGGATCCAAAAGTTCTTTACGCAGCTCTCATACAACAAAAGGAACGAGCATTGTTTAGGTAAGTATTCATTCATATATACACAGTAATGTCTCTTTTTATGCGATTTTAAAGTTGTGTAGTTTGTATTTCATCCAAAAATTTCTATTATTAACTGTTATAATTAAATATTAACTATTCACATCCAGATGTAAGATGCCAGATGTAAAGTGAGTCTTTGCAATTCGGGGATTCCCTTGTTAAATGATGTCCCTGGCTAATACATCATTGCGAGTTTCGCATTGAAAGGTATAAATTGTTATTATTAATTTGTAAAATGTAAAAAAATAATTTTTCTCTTAGCGGAGCTCCGTTTTATAATAAGTTGTTTAAAATTTTACTGATTCCAAGTTGCAGTATAATAAGCAGCACGGTTTTCGGACTGAAACATTTCAAGTGAGTGTCGTAAAATTTAATTTTTGATTAGAAGAGGTTTTTTCCATCTCAATATCGTAAGTCTATTTTTTTTTATTTCTTTCTTTAATATTTTATTTGGCCCAATGGAGAAAAAAAGAACGGTAATTATTTACATTAGTGAGGATAGTCGGATTAGTCTGAAATTTGGACAGTGGATTATGTTTTATTTTTTATTCACTTTTCAATCTATACATTTTTTTACCCCGAGCTATAGTTTTTCTGTAATTCGCATTTGAAAAACTGATATTTTGACATAAATTTGAAGATGCCGCCGCCATTACAGCTGCTGTCAATGATGTGCGTGTGAGTAGTACATACTTCTTGATCCAATGTTGCCACACTTGTCAAATATATTGTTTATTGTGAAAATATTAATTCTCAAGTACAATCATAAAGGAATAATGATAATGAGTATTATTTCAATTTTCTGTTTCTAAGGGATTCATATATCTGTATTTCATTTGTTATTAATTTATGTTATTACATATAGATTATAGTTTATTTCGTTTTATGGTGTATTAGGTTTTAATTTGTTTTTTGATTGGTACCACATTTTGCTTATTTAAAGTACGCCGTAAATATTATATGAATAAAATGTTACCACAGAATAAATAACAATCAGAATGCCCACCCTCAGATGCCGCCTTTGAAGTTTGTCAGCACGCGAACGCCATGTTTTAGACGGAAACACAGACTCTGATTGAGCAATTTATGACAAGCGACGACAGAACTGTCATTTAAATTTGTAGATTAATAATTTAGTACATTTGAAATAATTTAATATACTCTTCAACTAAAAGTACGAATGAAATAGTGCATGTTATGTCTGTTTTGTCTGTAGTTGCCGTAAATAAATTAAACGGGGTTAATTTGTCTACGCATACCCGACAAAATGTCACTGAACAGCACTGGTTCCGACTAAAACATGGCTGATTGCGTCTGCGCGAACGAGATGCGCATACTTATTTTTTCAAGCAGAGTGTACATTCTGATTGTTTATCATTATGTGATATTACTAACAAATATTTCAAAAGCTTTATTAAAATATTTCAAAATCTCAATCTTTAAATTTATATCCACCAGCATATTAGCACTATCGGTAGGTAATAACTTATATGGACATATATATTCTTATTAAAACTTAAATTCAATATATTTACACAGCAAAAAAAAAACAATATTAAATCATATGTGGTACACTTTTAAAAAACAATATTAACTCATATGTAGTATACTCTTATTAAAACTTAAATTCAATATACTTACTCTGAAAAAAAAAACAATATTAAGTCGTATGGCGTATACTCTTATTTAAATTTAAATTCAATATATTTACCCCGAAAAAAACAAATGTATATGTGGCAACATTGCACCTCCGCGGAATATTTTATATTGTGCGCAAACGCGTTTAACTTGTTTTTCCAAATAAATGAATTTTGGACATTTTACAATAATTTATATTTTGGATAATTTAACGGGAAAATGATAGTATTTTTAATTAATTTATAAATTTTATATAACTATTACGGCTATTTCGTATTTCGATAACATTTTTCTCTTGCCAATTATTGATTTCCTATACTTTTTATGAACTTTTTTTCAATTTTTTTTACTTTTTTTTCATTTTTTGTATAGTTCCGTAGACGTAAACATGAAAATGTAGCCTTTTTTCTATTTTTAAGGCTAAGTCCACCAAAAATTCGCATTTTTAGGGACCCTCACTAATGTAAACAAATACCAAAACAAAAGAACATCAAAGACAATCAATTTCGTTGGAAATTAAAATTGCAATTTTAGGATTAGGAAAAGGAGAAGGATCTACGGCAATTGGAAAACATTCTAATTTAGTCGAATCAACTTTAAGAGCAATTAAGAATTGAGAGAATCATTTGAGAAAATCTATAATTTCTGGTACAAAATTAAGCGCTTAATTTTTATCTTATTCGGGGGATGTATTATTAGAAAGAACAGAAAGAGCCATCGCAATTTGGATTGAGGAACTAATTCAAAGAAGAATTCCTGTAAGTGGCCTGTAACACGTCTGCTTCCAATGGCCAACCTTTCAAACCTGAAACTTGAATTTACTTCGACTTCGATCTGTGTACCCGTTTCTACCGTCTCCTTACCGCGCGTATCAATCCAAGGAACGGCCAACCCAAAATTCTTGTCAAACACGCTTCAATCGTATCGTAAAATAACCTTGAATCATTTCCAGCTTTTAAAATTGTAGAACTAACACGTATGAATAAATAAAACCATATTTAAGTCGCAGTTATAACTGGAATTTGGGGTATAGACACAGAGACTCGGCAATATTTTATAATTGGCCCAGGGACGTACCAGATAAAATTTTATACCTTAAATATTCGATAGTTATAAGGAGTTTATTATGTACAGTGCTCGTATAACAGGTCCTTAGCCATATGTAAATAAACATTATATAAAAAAATTTTTGCACATAATTTATGTTTGTTATTTTTTTTAGGTTAGAAAGTTTAGATCAATTGTTGTTCCACTTGGCAAGCAGAGAAATGTCGTTAACTGTGATAAACTGTATACAGCAGCAACTCCTAGAAGGCTCTTTTGGTTTTTGTAATATAAAGAGTGATGACTCTTGTACCCAATTACATCACTATTTGGAAGGAATTCAATCTGCTCCTCTAGATATTCAAGAAAAGATTAGAACGGCTGTACACGGTATATATCACTATTTGACACTCTCACTGAAACGACAGGTATTCAGCCATTCGGAAAATAAACATTTCTTGCTTACTACGATATTCTCTTTAAGTGCCAGGTAATTACAATACATTATTACTGTTTTTGTTTACAATATATCTGAAATTTATTTTTTATAGTATTGATATTTTTATTTGTGTTTTTTGGGTGTTTGTATAAAAAGAATATGAGAATATGTCGGCAGGTAGTTTAACGGACTGGCGGCCTCATCTCTTCTCAAATCTGATCGAACAATTGCCGACATATAGAGTTTCACCGCTCGGAGAAATTCAGCATTGAGACAGACGTAGTTCGGCACTTGTTTTGGCTTATGGGTTTATCTCGTTGGAGTTGAAGTGTGTTATTGGAGCTGTACGGTTTGGTGGCTAATTCACGTTTAGGAGAACAGTTTTTTTATAGTATTGATGGATTTTTATTTAGCATACGCATAGGATTGGCTGTAGCTATCGGCTCACCTAAGTTTTTTTGCACATGCTACCTGTTTTCATGAAGTTTTTTTTGTAGATATCATGCCAATGACTTGCCAATTGTCATAAATAACGATTTAATGCAGCTCTTGATGAGATTTATTAATTTTAACTTGGATTGTCCTAAATTGTACGACAAATCCGACATTTTAAGCATCGCTGCTTTGAGACTGACTCGAATATTAGCAATATCTTGTTGTGTGCATTCCAAGAAGTTAGACATGTCGACTCTGGAAAACGTCATTAACATTTTATATGATCATTTTGCTCAAACTGTAGTTTCCAAATGCTGCGAAAACTCGACGAACCCAACCACTTTTTCTCCGGATGGAGTAAGGAATCTTGGTGATTTCTTGCTGTTTTTAAGAATTATTAGTTCGAGTCACGCTATACAAAAGCTATTGGCTTCCAAAGAATGGATATATACCTTACTTGGTACGTTGGAAAATGCCAGCCCTTATACTAATTATTCAGAACAGCTTAAAACGTTGAGGCCAAAGTTATTGATTTTGCAGTTGCTGCAAGTTATTTTGCCAGGTAAGTTTTTGGTTTTTTTTATTTTGACCTAAAAACTTAATACACGTATATATTCACAAACACAAGAGATCTGAAATCTGTAAGTTACTACATCGTGACTAACAGACATTTCTATCTGCTGCAAGTTTTAGAAGTTAAAACACTTAACTCCAAATTCAAGCGAAGATAAACGAGGAACTTTTTATAAACTTCTTTAACCACACCTACTTGGAATGGGATCCGCAAGATTCGTTCTATTATTCAGTAACGCCTTGGACGAAATAATAAAAAACTATGTGTAATAAATAATATAAAATAAGAAAATGGAATGAAAATAATAACGAAAACTATTTGTAATGATCCACAAGGAAAATGAATTTCCTGTAGTCAGCTGAATACCAGAAATCACAAAAATTTTATTTAATAAACTCGCTATTTTTCAACAGCTGTATCTTTGAATCTACTAAATGGATTGTAATTTACTAATGCTGGTTTGAAAGGTATTTAAAAATCTTTAATTTACCATTCCTGCAAAATTTTTTTTGGTTTAAGAGCGTAGGCGCAAAATTTCGATCCAATGCTTTTTAAATGCATTAATTTTTTTCGAATTCTGAGAAAACTAATAAATATTTTTGAAAAATTTAAACGCATAATGAAAGAATACATTATTACCGAGGGCCGAAAGTCCCTGAAAACTTCTATGTTTATTTTAATAAGTTACAGGGATGAAAAAAAAAGAGAAAATTTTAGTGTGATTTTTAATTTCAAATATCTCATTCAAAAAACTTTTTATTTATTCTAAGGGACTTTTTGCCCTCGGTAATAATGTACTCTTTCATTCTGCGTTTAAATTTTTCAAAAATATTTGTTAGTTTTCTCAGGATTCGAAAAAAATGAATGCATTTAAAAAGCATTGGCCCGAAATTTTCGCCTACGCTCTTGGTAATTAATTGAAAATCATAAAATTTTGTTTTCTTTTCGTTCTTCTTTTCTTGATCTATAAAAAAACTAATCTTTTGCGGTTTTGTAAATTATCTTATCAAAAAGTTTACAATATATAACTTATATGGCATAATGACTATAACATTATAACTAAAATTGGTTCACTGGGCTCAGAGATATAGGTCTTCAAATATAGGTTAAAATGGGCTATTTTTGACCCTTTCTAGGGGCATGTCTCAGGCTCAGGGGCACCTAGAGGGCTAAAAAAATAGCTATAGGCTACTTTTTTAAGGTAAAATGATAATTAATCTATATCAAGCAAGGAAAAATAGCAGGCAAATGCAGTCCAGGACGAAGAAGAACCCCATGGTTGGAGGACATTGCGAGATTGGTATGGTATAGATACAAGCATGCTATTTAGGGTGGCAGTGAATAAAATTAAGATAGCTATGATGATAACCAACGTTCTGAAAGGACATGGTACATGAAGAAGAAGAATGATAGTCTAAAGTTTGTTAAAAACTCCCCACACTCCCCTTAACAAAAGTGGTTGAAAAAGTTGCTCATATTATACGTTTTTCCCTTCATATGCATATAAAATATACAAAATATACAGATTTGGAAATTGTTTTAACGGAACATAGAATTTTTAATACAATAACTGAAATTCTACATCGTTCGTAAAACACTTTGACTGGTTGTTCACATTACAACCTGCTACAGCACACCTCATTTTGCGCCAATATTTTTAAATCCAAAATAATATTTAGAGTGAAAAAATTGTCAAAAGCTTACAACCGTTACAACCTCTAAAAGTAAACATTCAACAAAATGTCGAGATCGTCACCAACTGACGTCACTTGACGTTTAATAGCCCCGCCCACATCTGTGCGATATCATAACTTCGCTTTTATATATCATGGTAATTATATTTAAAATCATATGTTCCTGGTAAAAATTTCCAAATGTGTATTGTTTTTGTAGGTTTACAGTCTGTTCATATTGACGACGATCTAAGAAAATATATTATTAACAAATTGTTTAATCAGATTAGTAGAGAAGTTTGGAATATATCTAAGAATGCAGATGAAACAACAAGTTGTGATTTTTGTGATAGTAATTTATTAGATAATACTCTTTTCAAAGAAGGTGAAGGAAACGTACCTGTACATGACATGGGTTTTGATGCTGAAAAATGTTTCAATTGTACTATTGAAGGTAAGTCAAATTCCTTTATTCTTAATTGTTTTAATTTCTGGTTAAAGTTGCGGCGAAACTGTTAAAGCTTGAAACCAAACTAATTGAGACCAAATCGATACACATAGACTTTATCAACAAAAAAATTAATAAAACACCAATTGGTATTAAATATTCTGCTATACTATATGCCAATACAGCGAAATATCTGGGCATGAACTTAGAAGCCAGATTAAGATGGAAAGAACACACTACAAAGAAAAAAAAGGTCACATCAAATATAAAAAAAAACTGCATTGGATCCTTGGAAGAAATTTCGAAATGTCAATTGTCAATACACAATAAGCTCTAGATATACAGTGTTAGTCAAAAATCAGTTCCCCTCGTATCTTTTGAACGGTTATACTTAATAATAGTGAAATTTGGAGGGGGGTAATAAACAGACGTAAGCTTCTTAACTAACCATGACAAGTGACATAATAGTGACAGATGACGTTACAGCGCCACTGTGACAGATACTTTTAAATAGGACCTTATGGCAAGTAATACCTCGTTTGAAAGGAAATGAAAATACCTTTTCAACCATACTAATTTTATTTGAGTTTAAGCTCATTTTGATGAATAAATTAAATAAATACTAATTAATATCACATATTTTCTTTTTTAAAACAATATTATTATCTGATTATATTCCAAATATTTCATTATTCAAACAAACGGCAATAAATAACATCCATAATAAACACATTGGTAACTACTGAATAATAACACTTGATGTAAAAAATTTATTTGAAGTCAAAAGAAACTTTTACGTCCAAGAAATAATCTCCCGAATTTATTGACCAGAAATTTAGATGAATCTTCATGAATTTATTGTTGGTGTAAAGCCCGCATTACAATAAAGTCGTTTAAAATGGTAAAAATGGCAATATCATTTTCAAGTCTTCTACTTTAAATTATTATTTAAAATAGACGACAAAATTTATTATTATTATAAACATTAATTTATTAATATTTTGTGTTTTGAGAACGATTTCCGAAGTCGAAATTGAAACTTCAATAATATCGTCATTTTAAACTTAAATTGTGGCTTATTCCCAATAGAAATCGTAATAACATGTATTGTCTATTATTATAGGTAACTTGACCCTAGTTCACGGTACAGGAGGTAGAGGTTACGGTTTGGGACTGCAGGCAATAAGGTCAGGGTGCTATCAATGGAAAATACTTATAGTAAAGGAAAATAGAGGCAATGAAGGTACGTGTATCGGTGTCTCAAAATATCCCGTTAAAGATTTTAGTCACCGATCCACAAACGACATGTGGTTGTATAGAGCTTATAGCGGTAGTTTGTATCATAACGGCGAAAGAGACATGAGCTTCCAAAGCTATACACAAGGTAAGTAAAAAGTGCTTCTTAGTAATATAATTAGTATTTTATACGTTTATTTGAATATACAGTCTACTTCACGAGGAAAATTGTTTAATTGTGCTGGAAATCGTTTAGATAAAATGGAAAATATCCTGTGATATCAGCTGGCAGAGTGTAAAAGTATTTTCTAACAGGTTTTTCCATGCGTGATTATTGTGGTTACCTAGTATTTGTCTTGTACCAGACTAGGTTTTCCGTATACCTTGGACAATGTCATGGACTTATGTGATAGCATGTCTGGCAAAACAGAAAACCAAAGAAGCTATATCGATGGAAGACAACTGTATATACGAATTTCTGACTATTGATCGTCTTCAGTACGGTGCAGCCCAGTTAGAAAAGGAGCATGTTAACTTGGGAAAGAATCATTATTACAGGAGCAATGCGACCTCTTTGTGGCCTTAGAGTTAGAAGACCCTGATGGTTTCCAGGGCAACAACTAACAATAACCACGGAGGAATCTACAGCTACTATAATATTCGAAGGAGAGAAATAATTGGGTTAACAGCTGCTAGACAAAGTAAACTTTACTACATCCAATATATTTCTCCTATTTTCATAGGCATCATCAGGGAAAGCTACAATAATGTTAATTAAGTATATGTTATATATGATGAATTAGTTTTTTTTTTAATTAACTGAGTAACTGAGGATGTTTGTCAAGATGTTTGATTGGAAAGCATTAAAAAAACAATAAATGAAAACTAAAATTTAGAAACTAGAATTAATATTAAACTTAACAGGCTTCTGGGTTGAACCACGTCGATTATCATTGGCCTGCTCCCTAATCGTATCGATTAACGGTCTTGTTTACATTTGTTAATGCAATCATTAATATGCTCATTCCAGGTTAATTTAGAATCTAAGGTAACACCTAGATAAAGTTTATTTAGCAGAAAATGGTTGACTTGTGCTAGTTCGGGTCGTAAATATTATTAAATTTACTAACTTGTTAAGACCGGTCCGGAGCGATAAGCAAACGAGGTAGGCAGAGTTGGTCTTTTGATAATTAACACTGACTAGATGGTACTCCTATAATAAAGCAAAGGATCCACAAAATTTACAATAATTTCGAACGACAAAAACAAAAAAACGGATGTAAAATATATTGCTTTTCCTGATATACCCGAAATTAATGTTACTCAAATGAGTTTTAAAATAATTAAATCTATTTTAATTGCTAAGATTATAGAAAAACAAACATTAATAATAAATTGTGGTTCTGAAAAGAACCCTTTTTTTAGTCGTAACATTTGTAGATTTGATGACAGTATTACTCCACACATAGTTATGTTCGCTATCGCTATCCTCATCTAAATTAATTATGATCGGTTCAATTATATTATGATCTACATGAACATATGAATTGGATTGTTCTCCTGGACTGGACTGTTCTCCAACTCATCATCATCATCACGTAGCGCTACAACCCTGGGTGGTCTTTGCTGACTGTACAACTTTTTTCCAATTTGTTCGGTCTTCCATCAACCTAGGGTCAAATGGAATGTTCATTTTCCGGAATCTGCTTGGATGTTATCTCTCCATCGTATTCTGGGATGGCCGAGTGGTCTTTTGCCTGTGGGAATCTCCTCCCATGCCAGTTTTACAAGTCTCTCGTTATGCAATCTGTGCACGTGGCCTGCCCATCTTAGTTGCTGTGATTTAATTTCTTGGACAATATCGGCGTCATTGTAGAGTGCTTTTAATTCGAATGCGTCATGTAGAGTGCTTTTAATTCGATATGGTTCTGATCTTATACTGGTTTGTGGTGATGTCATGGTGAGGTCCGAAAATTTTTCGTTCAAAGCGTCTGAGCTTTTCTTCGTTTGCTTTGGTCATGGTCCACGTTTCGCATCCGTATGTTATTACAGGTCTGACGATGGATTTATAGATTTTGATCTTTGAAGTTCTTGTAAGATTTTTTGATTTTATGAGCTTATCCAGTGCGAATAGACAGCGGTTGCAGACTGGATTCTGTCTATTTATTTCTTCAGTAACATCGTTGTCAGCTGTGATTACGGCTCCCAGATACTTAAAACGTTGCACTCTTTCGAAATTGAAGGTGTTGACCGTCACATTTTGTTCTATTCTGTCTTTTCGTGTCGCTCTATTTATACACATATATTTCGTCGTCTCTTCATTAATCTTCAGCTCTATTTCACTTGTTGCCTCTTCCACCTTGTTGAAGATGTCTTTCGTGGATAGGATGGAATCTCCAACGAGATCTGTGTCATCTGCATATACGAGTAACAGCTTGGGACCTTGAACCGATAGCAATTATGTTTTTATTTCGGCCGCCTCACGGCTTTCTCTAATACAAGGTTAAAAAGTAGTGGAGATAACGCATCACCCTGTTTGAGTCCACTGTTGATTTCAAAGCTGTCAGACAATTTATTATTTACACGTACTTTAGATATTCCACCCTCCATACAGACTTTTACGTTTCTTACTTGTTTCTATGGGATTTGATGTAATTCTTTTTACTGTGGTCAAAGGTATTTTCGTCAAATCGCATATTTCACTTGTAGCGGAAATTGTGTAAGTCCTCTTATAAGTAAGGTACTGTATATAGTTTTTACAATTTGCTTTGCATCTACAGATAAATGTTTCTTTTTTACCGGAACACTAGAAGAAGCCCCATTATTATTATCCCACGAACGCCACATAATGATTGAAAACGTAATGAATAAAATGAGTGATACTACTTAACACTTCCCGTGAAACATAAAGAAAACAAATTTTATCAAGAACTCGTATTTAAATACTATTTACTACTAATACTACTATAAAAACTTATTTAAACATATTTAAATTTTACCTGAAACCAGGCCTTTTATACTATTATCGGTTAACCCAGAATGTTTATAGTCGGTACTAATTGAAGTCAACCATTTACTGCTAAACAAACTTTATATAAAACTTATATCTCAAGCTGTGAGAATTTTAAAGTACTAACTTTTGGTAACCTGTGTCTCGAAAAAAATACTACAGCTAATTTGTTAGGTGAGACATCAAGCCCATGACTATCAAAATACTTTTTATAATAAAACATATTTGCTTTAAGGGGACATATATTATTAAAAATATCAATTAAAACGAGATATACCCTACCCACCATATCTCATCATAAAATTTTATCGTAACAAGTTAAAGCTGATGATAAATCACAGGACTTCCAGGGCAGCTCCATGTACACATGTGATTTTTTCATAATTTAAATAGATCATAGTTCAATAATTTAGTTCTACAACTCTGAATAAGTTAGAATTAAGAAAATTATCGTTTTAGGTGACTACATTACTGTCGTACTGGACATGGATGCGAAAACGTTAAGTTTTGGAAAGAACGGTGAAGAGCCTCGGTGGCTTTTGAGAACATCAATGCTACTGAACTTTACCCATGCGTCATGTTTTATAGCACGAATCCTGACGAAAAAGTGAAAATAACCGATATGAAAGTTCATGGTAAGTTGGAGCTAATGTCACTGAGTAAATGATAAAGTTGTGGGCTGTTCAGTGGGGAATATATTATTGGCACTACAAAATTTATGTATTTTTAAAAAGAAAGAAAAGAAAAAGAATATATATATATATATATATATATATTATATATATATATATATATATAAATATACAGATTGAACGAAATAAATTCGGAACATAGGAATATAATGTATTTCGGCTCAATTCTGCTGTAGGTGGTTGGCCAACAAAAGATTGTCAAATAATTATATTATAAAAATCCCATACTTCAGCGGGCATGCTGGATTCTGAACTCATAAAAATTGAAAGCTACACATAAATCTACGATTTTATTATGCTGTCAAACCAGTTATAGTCCAGGAAATGAAGTATTTCACCTCGCAATTTTTTCGTGCTGCGTGGATTGACTTGAAATTTAACAGAAGGTAGGTAATAGCCTAAGGATCAAAATCTATATCGAACCAAAGTGCGCCAAAGCCTAGGGGGTGGTTGCCACCCCAACTCCGGGGTGAAAATTTTTTTTACGTTTTAACTACAGGTTTCGATTAAAAAAGTGATTCTAAACAAAAAATGTGCTATACATTTTTTTTATAAAATGATATTTTTCAAGTTATTCGCGATTGAAAGTAACAACTTTTAGACGAAAAAATCCACGTTTTTTAATCGATTTTTCGCGAATAACTCGAAAAATGGTGCATTTTATCAAAAAATTGTAGAGAAACAAATTTGTAGCTTTTAAAAAGACAAATACAATTCATTTTTTAAAATGTTTTTTCGATATAATAGGAACCGAAATACGGCCTATCAATGTTCAGGCGGTTTTCTTCAAATGCCAAATTTGAAAGATTCAAAGTCAAATATCGGGAAAATGATGCATTTTAGGAAGAAAACTCACAAAACCTTTTTTAAAGAGCATAAATAGACCTATCATAAAAAAATACTCTAGCTCAAAAAATTGAGTGAGTTATGATGAAAATAAGGTCAATACCTCATTTTTTACGAAAAAATCGAGTGAAAACAACCCCCTAACCACCTCCATAATTAAAATCAACTTTCACCCCTTCTGCAATTCCCTTTGTACATGTATTGTTAATACGTCCAAGAAGTTTGACCCATTTAAAATGCTTAGTTTTAGAAAAAGTACAGCTTAAAGCGAGAAACGATTTACAATTTCATATTTTTTATCCTTCTTTTTTTAAATATGCCCGAAAATATTGAGATATATGAAAAAAAATAAAAAATTACCAATTGTAGCTTTTTAATGACTAAAATTATCCTTTATTTATATTTATTACTATTTATAACTGGGAATAAGCCACATTAAAGCTAAAAATACATTTATTTGACGTTTCAATTTCCAATTCGGAAATCGTTCTCAAAATACAAATAATAAATTAAACAAATTTTGTTTTTTGTTACATAGTGAAAAAATTCTTCTGATAATTTAATTTTTATCTGACTCATTTATATTGACAATTCAGACATACATATGCATTTTAAAGTAGACGACTTTTAAAATGATATTGCAATATTGTTGAGTTGCGCTCCTGGGACGACTTTACTTATAAGATAGTTCATTCGATTACATGAAATCTAACTTTAACTTGAGAATATCCGTCAGAAAAAAATCATAGCATGTAATTCGTCTTTAAAAAAGACAAACACATGACATGATGACAGTAAAATTCTCCTGTTAGTGATTCCATAGTAAATTATGAGGGAAAAACCAGGAAAAAACCCTCATAATACTATCCGACATTGTAAGTATTTTGTTCGTGAATTTAGTTTACCTTCAACAAAACATCAAAATTCTGATTTTATGTTACGTATTTAAAAAAACATAAATGATGTATCCTCTATATGTTACTGACTTTACTAATACTGGTAATTTTCTTATTAATAACTTTCCTCTTTTCAATATTGGTAACCAGAACCTACTACATTCTGCGAGGAATTTGCCTACACAATTTGGCTCATTTAGCATAATTAGAGCCGCTATCTTTGATTTTCTTTTTTTAACCATCCGTTTCTCTTTTAGGACTATATTTGAATTATTCCATTGAACTCTATGTTCATTATCCCATGCGTGTTTACATATTTGAGATCTATCAAATACTCTATTTTTAATATAAGATTGATGTTCACTTATTTCTAACATTTAATTGGCCTTGATGATTCACCTAAATAAAACTGATCGCATTCACAAGGTATTTTATAAATTGCAATTCTTTGTCCTTTCTTGTTCATTGTTAGGTTTGGTTTTGGACAAAATAGATCTCAACGTGTTTGTTGTTTTGAATGTTGTTGAAATGTTGAATTTATTTCCTATCCTTTTAAGTTTTTTGATAATCCTTTTATGTACGTATTGTTATTTTCCTCATATTATTCCTTGTGTATGCTGTAGAGATCTCGTTCTAAGTTGTTCTGTTCTATTCGATCGATTGTTGAAAATTCCTTATTTATAAACGAGAAAGGATAATCATTTTTTATTAAAACAGATGTTAACAAATGTTTCTCCACCAAGAACGAATTTCGTTAGAACAAGTAATTTTGGCTCTATCGTATAAGGATTTAATTATTCCCTTTTTTACATTAATATTGTGATTTGATTTGAAATTTAAATATCTATGGTGTGTGTTGGTTTTTTTTTAGTGTGTTTTTTTTATAGCTTCAGAACAATATTATTTATATTTGTTGTACAATGAATATTTGGCGAGATATAGCCGTTTAAAGCATCGATTTACGATCAAGCACCAACTTTTTCGAGCCCTTTAAACTCACCCCATTTAAAAACCAAGGTTCCAAAAAGATTTAATTCACAGATCCTTGTAGCTCTTAAAACCTCTACAAATCGTTTTTGAAGAAACACTCTATCGTTAAAAATTAAAGGAAATACGTTAAAAAAACCAGTTAATTTTTTTCCGGAAAATTCCATTAGTATAGTACAGTACATTTCGGAGCATAATAATCTACAAAACCGGTATATTATCTAGTGGGGCGTTATACATTCGAAATTTTAAGCGTTCTTATTTTGAAATCCCATACAACAGAATAAAACATCTGCTCATATGTCTATGGCTTGACAATGAAAATATCAGAGCAACAGATTGGGATGGTATTCCAAAGATGGTTTGTTATTATCCGTACGCATGAACAAACAACCTGCACCCGATGAACTTTTGAAAATTATTTTTTGCCAATGCAAAAAAGGATGCGGCGGTACTGTAACTATACTTGTTCTGGGTGCTCAGGTGAAGGGTGCAATAACAGTCCACCAATAATTGAAGAAGATGAGGATGACATAGATCACTTTGAAGATGTAATTGATGACGAATAAAATTAATATTATAATTGTTTTACCTATAAATGTATATATTTTCAACTATTTATGTAAATGTATAAGAATATATGGTGCCTTTTTATGTTGATAAATTTTTTTGTATTTAATTCTACATTTTTCAATTTATATCTTATAAAATAGTTTATAAAAACTGCAATGTTGTAAAGGGTGATTTTCAAAAGTTGAAAAGTTGCAAAATTTTGGCAAAAAATTGTTTTCACCTATATCACTCATAACAATTGATTTTTAAGGGTTGAAAATGTATGAATTTGTATTTTAAAGTATAAAAAAATCACTATTTAACTAATCTAAACCAAATTTCACTCATCTTAAGATATGTAACATTATTTTACAATTTTTGAAAATTAGGGGTAGTTTTCACCCCTAAGAACAATCAGGGTTCATCGGCATGATATAAACTATAAAGCAGAGGGTGAGTTGAGCTTAATTCCAAATTTTTATGCAAATCGTTCCAAGGTGAAATCATTTTCTTCGTATTACTAATTTTTTTATGTTAATCTCTAATAAGGGTCGCTTTTTAAGGGTTTAAATATGATGGAACTTTATTCAAAAGCACGAAACTATCATTATTTAATTAATTCAAACCAAATTTTACCCATATTCAGGTTTAATATGTTATTTTAGAATTTTTGACAATTAGGGGTAGTTTTCACCCCTAAGAACAATCAAGGTTCGTCGAAATGACATAAACTATAAAGCAGCGGGTGAATTGAGCTTAAATCCAAATTTTTATCCAAATCGATCCAAGGCGAAATCATTTTTTTAGAATTAGTAATTTTTTACATTAATCTCTAACAAGGGTTGCTTTTTAACGGTTTGAAATATGATGGAACTCTATTCAAAAGTATAAAATAATCATTATTTAAACTAATTCAAACCAAATCTTACCCATATTCAGGTTTAATATGTTATTTTATAATTTTTGACAATTAGAGGTAGTTTTCACCCCTAAAACCCTTCAGCGCACTTCGGTTCGATATAGGGCTATCACCTACCTTCTGTTAAAATTTCAACTGGATACATGCAGACAAAAAAATTGCGAGGTTTTAACTTTTTTCGAGCTGCATTTCCTGAACTATTATCGCTTCCTTAGACAAACCCGTCTTACGCACAACATTGTTGCGAGACAGATAGTTGAACGATATTTTATACAATGTCTACTCCCAGGTATGGATTTATTTATGTCCCAGTTTTATATTGGTCCACTATTTCAAATGCAGTTCAAACAGACATGTATTAAATTGTATGTTCCGTTTTAATTTGGTTCAATCTGTATATATATATATATATATATATATATATATAATATATATATATATATATATATATATATATAATTAACTAATTGTTAAAATAACTATTTTACTCTATATTTTCTAATTGCTTATATTATTTGTTAGGTACTCAAAGAGATCTGTTACCGGGCGAACCAAACCTGGCTCCATTACACGCCGTTCTTGTCGAATTCTACATTACGCTTATTAGGAGATTACACGTGTCTCCGACGTGGACAGAAGACGTGAACCAAGCTTTAATTACAAGACTGAATAAAATTGAAAATTATTTCCCAGTGATCGACACCCATAACATAGAAGAC